TTCCCCTGAGCCCACTGCCATCCCCTGGAATGTCTCATTTCCCTCAACTCCCTCCTGAACCACTCGAGCAGTCTTCCCTGATGGTTCTCTCTGCTTTCAGAACCCTCCCCTAGGCCAGGTAGCAGATAACTCTTCCAAAACAGAGCTCTGGCCAAGTCATTGCCCACTTAAAGTCAAAGGCACCCAGTGGCCTCTGCAACTGAAGAATAATTCTCACCTGGTACACAGGTCCTCTTGATTTGTTTCCAATATACTTTCTTCCACATTGTCCATCTGCTCTCCTGTCATGATCTAACCAAACCTTTCCCTGAGCACAACACATCCTCTTCCTGGAGTGTCCCCTTTCCTTCTTTCCATTTTCTGTAACTGTAACAGAATGCCTGACACTGGGTAATGTTTAGAGAAAAGGTTTATTTGGCTCATGATTCTGGTGGCAGAAAAGTTCAAACACCATGATACCAGTGTCTGGCAAGGGCCTCCCAGCTGTGTCACAACATGGAAGATGGCATCACATAGTGGGAGTGCATTCAAGAGTTAGAAGTCACAAGGTAAGGGAGGAACAGAGAGCAGGGAGGAGCCAGTTCATACAACCTGTTGTTGAGGGAACTCATTCAATCCTGCAAGACCTAACCCACTCCTTGAGACTGTTGTTAATACCATCACACGTGCACTCATAACCCAATCACCTCCCATTAGGTTCCACCCCTTAAAAATCCTAGCACCTTTTAATACCATTACACTGAAGATCAAGCTTCCAGCCCAAGTCTTTGTGTTACAAACCATAACACCTTCTGTTCCATTATTTCACAGTTGTCTTTTACTAAGATCCATCTCAAATGCTACTTCCTTCATTCCATCAACAATATTTATTGAGTACCTGCTATTTGTTAGGCAGAATGCTGGACCCAGAGAATACAAAGACAACCAAGACAGCCATGGTCCCTGCTTACAGTGACTTGTATCTATTTCTTATTGTCCTTCTCTTGGCAAAAATCATTTTTTGCTTTAAAGTGTAGGAACTATGTTTAGTTTCTTGCCCAGGACCCTTCAGGAATAACCGTGTGGCCCCTGGACTGGCCCTGAGAGTGCTAAGGAAGAAGGGTTTAATATCTACCTCCCCCAGCACCCAGAGCTCTGCCCTGATATGCTCCCTAGTGCATCCTCTCCACACTTCTCCCTTCACATCCAGACCTGGAATTCCCCTCACCACTACTGTTATGGTTTAGATATGAAGTGTCCCTCCCAAAACTCACATGCTGAAGGGTCCACAGTTGGTGGATCCAATTATTAAGAGGCAATTAGATCATAAAGGTTGTGACCTAATCAACAGATTAATCCATCGACAGATTCATAATATGATGGCATTATTAACAGGTGGTAGAAACTAGGAGGTAGGGTCTACCTAGAGGAATTAGGTCACTGGGAGCATGCCTTTGAAGGGTATGATTTATTTCCAGCTCCTTGTCCTCTCCTCTGCTATGAGGTGAGCTACTTTGCTCTATCATATGCTTCCCCACCATGATGTTCTGCCTTCACTACGCATGAACGCAGAAGCAACACAGCCAAGTGAGGATGGACTGAAACCTCTGAAACCGAGCCAAAAGAAATCCTCACTCTGCATCCAGAAGACCTAAAATGGAATGATATTTGTAACGGTTAATTTTATGTGTCAACTTAGCTAGGCCATATGGTTGGTCAAACATTATTCTAGATGTTTCTGTGAAGGGGTATGTGTATTTGTGTGTGTGTGTGTGAGTGTCGCTCGCACGCTCTCTCTCTCTCTCTTTCTATCTATCTATCTATCTATCTATATATATACTTTTTTTTTTTAGTGGGACTGAGGTTTGAATTCAGGGCTTTGTGCTTGCAAAGCAGGCACTTTACCACTTGAGCCATTCCTCCAACCCATTCTGCTCTGGTTATTTTGAAGATGGAGGCTTGTGAACTTGCCCAGGCTGACCTCACACCTCCTAAGTAGCTAGGATTACAGGCATGAGCTACCAGCACCCAACGTGAAGGTATATTTTTATGGTAAGATTAACAAATCAGCAGAGTGTGAGTAAAGCAAATTACTTTTCATAATGTAGGGGAGCCTCATCCAACAAGTCAAAGACTTTAATAGAAAAGACTGGCCTCTTCTGTAAAAAAAGGAATTTGCCAGTAGACTGTCTTTGGACTTGAGCATCTATATCAACTTCTCCTTGGGTCTTCATACTGCTGACATGCAGAGTTTGAATTTACCAAGCTTGTCATGTCAATCCCTTAAAATACTACTATTAGTGTCTCTCTTTCTACACACACACAAATAAATTATGGACTGAATATTTGTGACACCCCCCCCAATCTATACGTTGAACTTCTAGTGTGGCTGTATTTGGAGATAAGGCCTCCAAAAGATTTACCCGCTGTCCTTTTAGTATGTCAAGCATATTCCCACCTCTGAACATTTACTCAATAACATTAGACTCCCTATTTTTGACTCATCTCTCTAAATTTTACCCATATTTCAAAACTGAGCTCCAAGTCACCTCTGTGAAATCATCCTTAAACATACCAGTTGATTTATCCTGTTTTGGCCATGTGTTGATTTTGCATGAGATGTGATGCTTCCTCTAGCAAAGGAATTGTGGAACAGTTTCCCCCCAGCCAAGCATTTCCCAGAGAGAACACTGTTTGCCCCTCAGCTTCTACTGTTGTGAGCAACCCAAGGTTGTTTTCCTTGGACCCTTTGGTGGCAGTCCCTGCTCCTATCCTCCTCAAAGGGATTTGTTAGAGAGATGAATGAGGAAAATACCTCATACATTGTTGCCAATTTTTTAAAAATATATTGTCTTTGTGGTTGTTATTTTGAGATAGGGTTTAACTATGTAGCCCAGACAGGCCTCCAACTCACGATTCTCTTGCCTTGGCCTCCCAAGTGCTGGGGTTACAGATGCGTGCCACCAGATATGTTGCCAGTTTTGTTTTGAGACACTATATAGCTCAGGCTGGCCTCAAGCCTGCCATTCTCCTGCCTCAGCCTCTTGAGTGAGTGCTGGGATTTCAGGAGTGTTTTACCTCTCCCAATTGCCAATTTGTATTGAGGGGGCATTGAAAAGAGGGAGGGGAAAACTGAAATCAATTGTAGACCTTAAACGTTTAACTTCCTTAAATGTTTTTCTTCAAAATGTTCTATATTCCATATTTAAAATGAGTTCGGAAGTATTTCAAGTAATTAACATTTTTGTCACTAAAGATACATGTATTTAAAAAAAAAACCCAAAACCTCTCTTGCCCCTTGTTATCTCTGAAGGCATTTTTGACCTTTGGTTGTTATTTTTAGTTTTTTTCTGTTTTGTTTTGAGATGGGGTGTTAGTATGTTGTCCAGGCTGGCCTCAAACTCCTGGGCTCAAGCAATTCTCCTGCCTCATCCTCCCAAGAAACTGGGACTAAACTGTGCTCAGCAGAGAGAGAGAGAGAGAGAGAGAGAGAGAGAGAGAGAGAGAGAGAGAGAGAGAGTGTGTGTGTGTGTGTGTGTGTTTTACTTTGTAGAGTGGTGGCAGTGAAGAAAGGTCTTTCGGCTGACCAACGCATATGCACCATTCCTCAACGTAAGTATGACTAACTGGTGTAGACAAACTTAGTCATGTTATTAACATGTCCCTGACTTAATAGAAGTACTGAAGAACTTCCTATCCAGGGAAAGTTCCTGATGTCCTAGCTGGGTACCAGTGTGTACTTACAGAGGTTGTGACTAGTACTGTTATGGAAGTCCCTGGGAAACCTAGATTTCTTCTTGGCCACTGACCCCCTTGAACATGTTTCTCTAGGAAGCAGGTGATGCGATGGAATTTTCCAGTTATAGAAACTTCTGTCTAGCGCTGAAAAGGCAGTCTGGGTACAAAAGTGCTTTGTAAAAGAAGACATACTCGCCTTTTTATAAAAATACAGGTGAGAAAAATTGTAGTAAATTTGAATCAACCACATATAAGTCAGTTGGCTTCAAAGGAGCAAAAAAATCCACATTGGGTGAATAAGTTATGACAGCTTTTCAAAAAAAAAAAAAATTAATCTGGGCGCCAGTGGCTCACACCTGTAATTCTAGGTTACTTGGGAGGCTGAGCTCCAGAGGATAGAAGTTTGAGGCCAGTCCCAGCAAATAGTTCTAGAGACCCCATCTCCAAAGTAATCACAGTAAAACGGACTGGAGGTATGACTCAAACAGTAAAGTGCCTGCTTTGTGAACACAAAGTCCTGAGCTCAAACCCCAATCCCACCAAAATAAATAAATAAATAAATAAATAAATAAAAAGAAAAGAAAAGAAATTGTAGAAGAGCTGTGCATGGTGGCTCACGGTATAATCCCGGCATTTGGGAGTTAGAGGTAGGAGGACCTTGAGTTCCAGGCCAGTCCTGACTATATAGTGATGCCCTGTCTCAAAAAAAAAACATGGTGGGATAAACCTAACCAAATACACTGCAAGCATATATGGAAATGGCACAGTGAAACCCCCTGTATAACTAATATATGCTAGCAAAAATGTTATACATATTATGAATATATAAATAATAAATGTGTATGTATATATATATATAACTTTATGTAGTTATTATATATCTATATATCCCCGAATGGATTCAGTCTTTCAACGATCCCAGGGGAAGGCAAGTGCAGCACCCTTCTCCCCATTTTACAAGTGAGGAGACTGAGGCTCAGAAGGCCTACGTGGTTTGCCTCTTTGTAGTCACCTCACCTAACTGTGCAGCACAGGTGCCCTCAGACGTGGCGGTCCGAAGTCAGTCCGGCTCCCCAAATCCCGGCAACCAAGGCTGCTTTCAGTCAGGTGGCACTTCCGCCTTCCTGGCCCCTAAGGCTCTCCTGCCTTGCCGGGAGTCACGAGTTGTCTCTGGGATCCGCCCCTCCAGCCTGCTGATTGGGCAGCTGCTGTCCTCTGATTGGTTGTTCCCTTTCGGGCTCCTCACTCAGCCGGATATAGAGACTGGGCTTCCGCTTCCACCTTCTCCCTCCTCCCGCTCGTCCTCGGGTCTAGTCACCGCCACCGCGGCCGCTGCCGGGCGCGGTGCTGGTGGGTCGGTTGGTTAGTCTCTCAACGTTGGTTGTCGGTGCCGTTGAATTGCCCGCCATGGCTGAGCTAGATCCGTTCGGCGCCCCCGCTGGCGCTCCCGGAGGCCCCGCGCTGGGGAACGGGGTCGCCGGCGACGAAGACCCGGCCGCGGCCTTCTTGGCGCAGCAGGAGAGTGAGATTGCAGGCATCGAAAACGACGAGGCCTTCGCCATCCTGGACGGCGGCGCCCCCGGACCTCAGCCGCACGGCGAGCCGCCGGGGGGTCCGGGTGAGAGTGCGGGCGCGTTTGGGGCGGGGACGTCGGCCCGGTGTGAGTCTGAGAGCTTCCGTGGGTTTGGTGCTCCTGGCTGACCCAGGAGGTTAGAGGAAGCTAGACCCCGTTGTGTGTGTGTGGGAGGGGGGCTCAGTCACGCGTGCAGAAACCTCGTCTCTAGAAGCCTGCTCCGGCCGGAGTGTGTCTGAGTGCGGCTGGGCGCGGCGGAGCGGGAAAGTAGATGCCGTGACAGTCACGCCCGTTCAACTTTTCATCAAGCACTTGCTGTGCTCTGAGCCCGTTCTCCGCACTGGCACGGTACTGTTACCTACAACACCTCGGCAGCACAGTGTCGGGGTAAGGGGAGAACCGAGGCGTGAATAAGGGACTCGAGGAAGATGGTCTAGTGCCAGCTAGACACTCTGGTCTGTCATGGTTGAGTGTATCACAGCCAGGACTTAGGAAGCCCTTCTTCCTTTGCTTTGGTAGGCATTGTTGCCAAGGAGACCCCAGTGTAGCCTGGACCACTAAGCAAGGGAAGAAGAGGTGACTGGAGAGTGCGGTGTGGTCTTTTCCCAGTCAAATGAGAGCGGGAAATAGAAATGAGACCAGTGACCTTTGAATGCCTGATTTGTGTGTGATGCCTAGGATTGTGATGTGGGAGGAAAGGTTGAGTGGAAAAGACCTGTTCAGTAATATAGAGAAGTAGGAAATTAGAAGAAACGAGACAGTGGATTTTCACTTACCTACAAACAAAAAACAAACAAAAACCTGAGCTGGGCGCCTGTAATCCCAGCTACTCAGGAGGAGGCTGAAGCTGGTTCAAAACCAGTTTGGGCAACACTGAGAACTTGCCTCAAAAACAAACAAAAAAAATGAAGTCCAATTATAGGAGAAGAGGGTGCTATTGGTGCAAATAGGAATGTCTATGCTACCATAAACTCCACCCTTCAGGGACCAGGCAGGTAGCAGATGAGTGAAACAGTCTGGGCATGAGACTATAAGAAGTGTTGGAGACTTCCAACACTATGAGTATTGCTTTGTATATATTTGAGACTCAAAAATCTCAAAATTAGTATGCCAGCCAGGCAGAACTTTTTTGTAGGGGAGAGGGGGTTAGCTGTTGCTAGTTTGCAGCTTCTGAGTTTTCATACTACACTGTGCTCTTAGGAAAACCAGCCCCTCTTCCCAAAGAACTTACATGAAGACATGTAATATGCCTGAATATACAATTTACAGCAAACAGATTGGACAGAACTGGGCTGACTGGGAAATGAAGTTGGCTTTAAGTGAATAGAAGCTGTTTTCCTTGGGTGATCTTTTAGCATTTCTTTGAGGATTAAACATTTTTACTTTTTAGATCCTTTGTTTACCTCCTTATGTAATAGAAAACTCAATCTTAGGGAGAGGTGACTTTTTTTTTTTTTTAAAGAAAAAAGTGAATTAATAGCTGAGCCCTGGGTTTCCCCACCTTTAGTCTGTACCACATTCCATTGTAGTTGGTTTAGTACTGTGTTGGGATAAAAGAAAGGCATTGTGGCTGAATTGGGAGAAGCAGGATCACATAGAACCCGTAGAAGACTGTTGGGATTCAAGGACAGCTATTCTTACTGTTGTATCTACATCACCTAGCAGGATGCCTGACAGTGTTCACATGCTTGACAAAGAAATAGGTAAAAAAGAGTCCTGTAAAGAACACACAGCTCTTGGTGGTAGGCAGTTTGGAAAGGTAGTATGGAGAGAACAGAGCTGGATACTCCAGTCCTTTGTGCATCAAGCCTTCAACAAAGGGAAGGAAAGGGGTGATTGCTGACTTAGTTCCTGGGAAAGCCATTCTTAGTGGACTAAGCATTTAGTGATTTAAGGCTAGATCCCTGACAGTGTGCTGAGGTTGGTAATAGAGCAGCAGTCAGCACTTCCTTTGGGGATTAGAGAACTTATTTGTGTCTCTCTGTTTCTTTTGATACTCTAGTAGTTAGGATTCTGGGCTATCCTGTGTTACTTGAGTGTGAGTTTAGCTTTGTGATCTGAGGAAATTTATATAACAATCATTGCTGTCCAGCCTGTTTTCTGCTTTGTAAAAGGTGAACAATATATGCCACATAGTATTTTTAGGATTAAAAATCCTATGTAAAAAGTCTTTACACAAGACTGTGTGTAAAGTGTTTGCTGGTATATTTCGTAAGCATCCAGTCAATTTTAGCTTTATTTCCTGGAGGCAAGGGGGGGAGGAGTGATGAGGCCTAAAGGCTTTGGTTGTAACTAAGTAAGCTGAGAGATTATAGGTGGGAGCTCTGTTTCTTGTGGTAGGCTGCAACAGTTTGAGGAGAGAGGAAAAGATCTAAACATGCTCCAGCCTTAGGGAAAATTCCCATGGGCGGATGTACACAGGCAAAAACAGGACTGAGTTTTGTATGACTCCTTCAGTTAGGAAATCCAGAAAAAAGACAGAAATTTAGAGGTAGAAGGTAACCAGCTGCAAGAAGTGGTTTGGGGGATATTGAAGAAGAACAAGTAGTCAAGGAGGAGGCATCACAAGTGGAGCTTTTGAAAAATCCCTCAATCATGAAGGCTAACGGGGTTGGAGAACAGAGCAGTCGAGGAACTCAGGAGCACACTGTGTTTTGGACAAGCCCTTTCTTGAAGGACAAAGAGGGGTAAAGCACATTAAAGGGAAGCTTTCTGGAGAGCAATTTTATTGATAGCAATGGTAGAGAGGAATTTAGAGAAGTGTCATGAATAATATTTAAGTACACTACACATTTACTGAATGCTGGTACACAGACTTTCAGATCCAGCACTAACTGCAAGTTGTGGGGTAGTGTCATCATATTTCAGATGAAAACTGGTCACTGGAAATTAAGCAGTGTTTCTAAGTCAGCAAGCTAATCAGTGGCTCAGTTGGGATTCAAACGTCGTTCTGCTTGATTTCAAATGTTTCTGGAACATGGGAAGTCAAAACTGGTTTTGGGACAGTCTTTTTCCCTTTGGAAACTTTCTCTGGCCCTTTTCTCTTTCTGGAGTTCCTAAAGTGCCCTAGAAAGTTTGCTTCTGGATTGTTGAGTTGCTTAGCTTAGATGTCCTAGTAAGTCAAAGGTCCTAGATATCTTTCTGCATGCTTTTGTAGCACTGGACTAACTTTTGACTTAGTGTGTCAGTTGATTCGTATAAGATGTCAGAACAGTAGTACAGTAACTAATAAAGAAAGCACATGCCAGTGAGTCTGGGTGAATCTTCAGACCAAAAGGACAGGCAGCATGTAGTTTAGCAAGTATGGGATGAGGGTTGCTTCTAGTTTTGTATGTGTAGTAGTGATCAAAGTCTTTTCTTTTTGGAAGTAGCCCTGGGCTGGAATATTTTAACTGGATAGTTGTTATGTTAGCTGTAATATATTAACCATAATGTGGGACTGGTCAGACTAGCCATTTGTAGACTCTAGGATTTAAAACTATCTTACTCTTCTATCTTACAAAAAAATTAATTCCAGGTAGATTAAAGAGAAACTTTTAGAAATACCAGAGGAAAAGTGAGTATCTCATGGTGGGAAAGGCCTTCAACCTAAAGGCAGATGGAGAAATCATCCGCTATGTAATCCTTTGGCTCAAACTTGACCAACCCTGATTAAAAGACTGAAATCTTATGTCTTGCAGATGCTGTTGATGGCGTGATGAATGGCGAATATTACCAGGTACAAAGTACTCTGATTATGTCGAATGGTAGAAGTCTAGAGTCTTTTTCTTCTGTGATTTGAATTGATTGACCTAGAAAGAGACCCCATCCTGTGACTTTCCTGGATATTTTAGTAGATGGTATATTACCTACCACAGTAGGAGGTTTAAAAAGAGGTGGCATCAATAGAGCACTCTTTTAAATGTTATTGAACTGGTCCTAGTGTTAACAACTTTATTCTCAAGAAATGATTGTTCATGATGATGGTGATCAATTTAAACACTGTGTCATGCGCTGTGTAAAGCACTATAATGGTCTGGTAAGGTTAAACTGATAATATTCCCTCGTGGAACAAGTAGAGTAAGTCTCTTTAACAATTAACATCTGTTTGAGTCTTTATCAAATTTGTTCATTATCTATCAAATCTTACCCACTAAAAGAAGCACTGCAACACCCCATGCTCCCTGTGACTCATATTTGCCTGCCCTTTTTTCCCTTCTCTCCCTGGTATGACTACAGTAACTACATTTTCTTTTGGACTCTTTCTTAGAATTTACTATGTTTTTATTAAGTAGTAATACATGACCTTTTTCCTGCAGGGTATGCCTACATGGCATTTAGAAGTACTTAGCTTTGTTACTTTGAAGATACCACATAATCTGTATCAAGTGAGGAAACTGATAACATGGTTTCCTAATACATCCATCCATTATCCACTCATCCCCAACTTTCCTATCTTCCACTCGTGTCCCACTTGTGAACAGGTAAGATAAGAACTGCTCTTCCGCCTTCATGAGATCATGAAGATTCAGTGCAGTAATGTTGAAAGTTCCCTGTTGGCATATAAAGTTGTATTGTTACTTTTAAGGTACTTCTTTAATATTTTATGACAGCCACCAGTGCTGTATGTAACCAGAGGTTCTAAATTTTATGGAGCACATTTCAGGAAGGAGTTTTTGGTACTGATAAATATGATTATGTTTTGTGTTAAGGAGAGTAATGGGCCAACAGACAGTTATGCAGCTATTTCACAAGTGGATCGATTGCAATCAGAGCCTGAAAGTATCCGTAAATGGAGAGAAGAGCAAACGGAACGCTTGGAAGCCCTTGGTAAGGAATCCCTTTCTGTCTTTGGGTGTCTGTTTTTAATGGAATTGTTGACCTAGACTCTACTTTTACCCCTTTTTAACTTGAATTAGTCATCGTGTCCTTCTCTGGTCTTTGGAAGACATCTTTTTCAGTCTGAAGCTCACAAGGCCAGTCATGGAGATTCCTAATCATAGGCTGTTTATGAGGAGTTTGGTAGCCTGGAGAGCCACTTCTCCAGGAAGAAAGCATAGTGGTGTTGTGGGAAGAGCCTTGGACTTGCAGTGAAAGGCTGGGTCACCTAACCTTACCTTACTGACTGTGGGCATTTGGTTATTTAAACCTTCAGTCTGTGTCATCATCTACGAAGGAAGATCAGTATTACTACCCTCAAGTCAGTGCTTTGTCAACTTGAAGTTATTATATCCATGTGAGAGGAGAGATATTTATAGTTCATTTATCATTTGAAGGATGAATTTAAGGTAATACACAAGAAAAATATGAGATATGTTAGGAAATGTGTTAGTCACTCCGTCACTGTGACAAAATACCTGAAAAAAATCAACTTAAGAAGGAAAGGTTTATTTATTTTGGCTTATAGTTTCAAAGGTTTCATGGTTAGTTGGCTTCATTGCTTTTAGGCCTATGGCAAGGCAGAGGAAAGCTGCTTACCTTCTAGCAGCTAGGAAGTAGAGAGAAAGAGAGGAAAAGGCCAAGGACAAGATAACCTCCCTCCCCACCAGGCACCCACTCCCTCTAATTAGGCACCACTTTCTATGGTTTCTACCTCCTATAGTTCATTCCCCTCTGTAGTTCATTCAGTGATGAGTTTATCAATAGATCAAACCATTGCTTAGGTCAGAGCCCTCATGAGTCAATTATTTCTCAATAGCTCCACCAGCTAAAGAGCAAGCTTCAAGACATGAGCCTTTGGTGGGGGGCACTTTGTATTTAAGCCATAATAGGAAATATGCATAATTTTTTTTTTTAACCTTACTATCCCTATAAGGTACGTTTTTATATTTTTAGTGGGGATCACAGGTAGAATAAATATTTAAGGCACATAGCTAAGAAGTGTTAAAGCAGAGTTTCAGTCTTAACTCAGCCTTGCTTTAAGGTCCATACCCATCCTCTTCAATCACATTTCTTTCTAAATACATGCAGTATACACAACCCAGTTTAACCTTTGGGAAAGAATGTCACCTGTTGCTTCAAGATCAGGAGAGATCTGGTGTCTCTACATGGTGAGTTGAAGAAGTATGGCAGGACGTGAGGATGTAATCCATCATGTATTCATCATGTATTTTCTCAGTTTTTTATTAAAATTTCAAACAGACCAGTTGAAAGATGAGGAAAATCGATAATAAATAATTTTCATGGCTGGGTGCTGGTGGCTCACATCTATAATCCTAGCTACTTGGGAGGCTTAGAACTGGAGGGTCACAGTTTGAGGCCAGCCCTGGCAAATAGTTCATAGACCCCATCTCAGCCAGTAGCTGGGCAGGTTAAAAATAGTGGCACATGTGCCTATCAACCTCTAAGCTACTGAGGGAGGCTGAGATGGGGAGGATCATGGTTCCAAGCTGGCCTGGGCAAAAAAAAGTTTGTGAGACTCCATCTCAGCTGGACATGGTAGGACATGCCTGTCATCCCAGTGACATGAGAAGCATAAAATAGGAGGGCTGTAGTCAAGGCCAGCCTGGGCAAAAAGTAAGACCCTGTCTCAAAATAATGAGCAAAAGGGGCTGGAGGCGCAGCTCAAGCATAGAGTGCCTGCCTAGCAAGTGTGAAGCCCTGAGTTCAAACCTCAGTGCTGATAATAAACTTAAAAAAAAATTTCCATGTTGCCTTATTGTATAGTCTTTATATAAATGAGTTGCATATGTGTATGTGTCTTACACATACAGCTTTTGTTTTGGCTGATCTGGTAAGATAAAGATACAACTTCCTGTTTAAATATTTCATTGTGTATTTCGTAGAAATAGTGCCATGTACCATGTAACCACAGTGTCAGCAGTATTACTCCTTTTTGAGGACCATTTGCTTAATGAAAATATGACTCCTTTACAAGTGGGATCACTAACACCTGGAAATAGGAAAGAATCAGCCCAGATAGCTAGTTAGTGCCCGATGTTTTATTTCTAGTTCAATTTATATAGCTTTCAGAATAAGGCATACTATGTTTAAATCTGTATAGCAGCATTATTCAGTAGTAATTTATTTGGTGATAGAAATATTCAGTATCTTTACTGAATATGGTAGCCACTGACACTTGAAATGTGACTAGTGTTACTGAAAAACTGAATTCTAAACTTCAATTTAAATTTTTAATTGTCAAGTTGGGATACCTTGGGAATAGGCCATGAAAAGTTGTTCTCTTAACTCAGGATGCCTTCTTGAGGGAACATTTGGCTTTGCATTCCAGTTTAGTTGGTCCACAAATAAGATATTTCTTTAGTTACACCTTTTGTCCTATAAGAACTGTTGAAAGCACAAGATGCTAAAAATAGAGAGCCAGACTGGGCATGGTGGCTCATGTCTGCTATTTGAGAAGCAGAGATGAAGAGGATTGCAGTTCGAGGCCAGCCAAGGCAAATAAATAGCAAAACCTTATCTTAACCAGTGGCTGAGTACAGTGGTACATGCCTATCATCCCAGCTACATAGGGAAGCACAAGTTGGGGAATCAAGGTCTGGATATAAAGTGAGACCCTACCTCAAAAAATTACCAACACAGCCAGGTCCCAGTGGCTCAGGCCTATAATCCTAGTTTGAGATCAGGAAGATTGCAGTTCAAAGCCAGCCTAGGCAAATAGTTCACGAGACCCTATTGAAAATACCTAACACAAAAAAGGGCTGAGTTCAAGCCCCAGTCCAATCAATCAATAAATAAATGAATGAATGAATGTAAAAGGGCTGGTGGAGTGGCTCAAGTGGTAGAGCATTCACTTAGCAAGTGAAAAGCTCCAGTTCAACCCCCTGGTACCAGCAGAAGTCGGGGGAGGGATAATAAAATGGTTCTCAGCTTAGCCCTGGCTGCATTCTCAAATAATTTTGTGCAAACAGCAATGAGGGTGGCCAGAGAAGGTGCCTGTCAGTGTGCCTTGTTCTCTAAAAGGACTCTTTATCCTGTCTTCTGAAACACCCCCCTTTCCCATCCCCTAAGGCTCAAAGAGACTGTGTTTAGGCTAAATCTGTGTCTCATCAAGTTAAACACTGAAGGATTCTGAATTTTTACTGCTAATAGCACTTCCTAAATCTGTTAAGGCCAGGAGATAATTTAAATGTGCTGTTTTATATGCAGTAACTACATTGCTACAGGTTGTCACAATTTTTTTTTTAAATTAGGCTAATTTTTCTCGGATAAATTTCCACAATAGTTTGGTCCTAATATATACTATTTGTAATAATCATTAGAATACATTAAAAGGAACTATTCTAATAGAAAAGTACTTTTTTAAAAGTAATTTCACCACTATAAAAGTAGATCTTGCACTTAGGTTTTGTGGTATTTTCAGTTCCTTGTTTACATGGTACCATCAGCCCACAGCATCTCTCATTGCAATACAGTGTTGTCCATTCCACATATGCTGTGGACAGACATATATTAGAAGTTTCTTGATACGTTAGAGTCATCAGTGGAAAGTCTTGAGTAAAATGATTCTCCTTTTGAATGATAGTTCACCTTCTGACAAATTAGACAACAAAGTGAAAAGTTCCTTATAATCTGAAACTTGGGGGTGGTATCTAACTGCTATTAGACTGTTTCTTGTAGTTACCCACAGCCTTCCGCAGATTGTTACTACAAAACCTTTCTTGCAAGGCCCCTAAAAATGCCCAAGAATGCTTCATTTCTTCCCTTTGAGTCATATTGATACCATACCTGCTTTCTACTCCCCCCTTCTCAAGAGATATTAATTACAGGATGGGTTCTTGCACTGCACTTTCAAAACTGCCTGGATTACTAGTGGCAGTGATTATTTCTTGGCTTGCATAATGAGTTAAGTACAAGTCTGAGTTCTAGAGTCAAACCTGGTTTGGATCTTGGCCCTGCCACTTACTATAGTATCACCTGCACCAGTAACTGGGACATGTATTTCTTTTATCTCATACTATATTGATATATGTCTCTTCAGCTAAATATCTTAGAGAAAACCATAGTTAGTCTTCAGAAACTATGTTTGAGAATTCAGTCTGGCAGACCTGTTAGATATGCATTTTCTCACTAGCATCTCTAGAACCTTTTGGTTAACCATTAACAATCCCACACCTGGCCCCTGCAATTCCCTCCACTGAAGTTTCCTTTACAGTTTGTCTTAACAATTTAACTCTGCAGTCTGAGTAGGAGTAGATGTTTTGTGGTCTTCACTGTCTCTACTATCCTATTTTCTGCCATTCTCTGGTTCCTGAATCATATTTACCTCTGATAATTTTCCTAATAGTTTCCTAATTTATACCAATGCTTCTATGATATTTAGTTACAAGAGGGCCACCTTCTGTTTTATAAAACCATTAATGGTCAAACCTCAGATGTGGAATGTAGTTTTATGAGAAGAGCTAAAAGATGATCTAATATGCAATTGTGTTTGTGTGTGTGTGTATGTGTGTTTGTTTTGTTGGGACCTTGCACATGCCAAACAAGTACTCTACCACTGAGCTTCATCCTCACCCAAGATGATATGAAAATATCACCCTAATATTGGCAGCATTATTAAAGAATCATCTTTAATTTTTTTTTCCTCAACTGGTTCACCAGGAGGCTTTTTCTATTAAAAATTCATTATTTCCACACCTATCCTCCCCCTGCCAAAAGCAATTCCAATTGAAGTGAATTCAGTTGGTCTGTCAGTAAGTCCAATTAGTGACCCACCAAGATCAGTGGACTGGGATAAGATACAGTCAAAGACCAGAAATAAGATCACTGAGCTCAACAGTTGGTTGTACCAAGAAAGAACCAGAATTTTATCTTCCCCTCCCTGTTAATCTCCCAAACACATATATGTATATACATCCCTACACCAACCATAAACTCAGTAAGACTAAAATAAATTGAAGAAATTAGCTTAAATTTGTGCTTTGCCTTATTTGTGTTGTCTTTCTCTCTCTCTCTTCAAAGATGCCAATTCTCGGAAACAAGAAGCAGAGTGGAAAGAAAAAGCAATAAAGGAGCTAGAAGAGTGGTATGCAAGACAGGATGAGCAGCTACAGAAAACAAAAGCAAACAACAGGTCAGTCCACAGTGATTCTAGCACATCTTATTTTCAAGACTGAATCAAATCCATTTTCCAGCATCCAGTCTAGGTTCTTCTGGCTCTTCCCTCCTTTAATGTGAAGTGTCTTTGCATGTTTGGAAGAAAGTGCTTGAAACACAGAAGCTGCAAATCTCTTGGATCTTGTGAGCGTAATTCAGCCTGTTCTTTATCCCAATTGTAGTGAATTTGGCTCTTAAACTAAGAGTTTGGTTTGCTTCAGCTGTAACAGTATAATTCAGAAAAGGGAAAGTTATTTCATGAATTAAGTCCACGTGGAAAAAATGGAGTGCCCTGAAATGAAAGGTCAGTTTCATTACTATAATAGGATCTCATTACTTTGGGGATGATTATAGACTTGGTCATGTTACATCCCCTAAATAAAACCCAGCTCTCTGAAAGAGTCTTCCCAAAGGGGTCCTTAGCATGGAAATGTGCTCTGTAATTAGTTAGTGAAAGATGTTTCGCAAAGTGCCTTCAGAATTAAGGATTCGCTGAGTATTTACCTGTGCCTAAGAAAATCTTTAATTGGCTTCTGAAAAATGCTTTCTTCAGAATTTCTTTTCCTCATTTACTGAAGGTTGAGTAGTTGTGGAGAGAAACACATTTGTTCTCATATTATTACCAAGCAGCAGCTGCGGTCTTTAATGCATTCACTTCTTGGAAGTCCTTCTTTCTGGGAAGTCCTTCCTTGTTGGAAGTAGCTTAGAGAGACAAGCAGCATGGCTCCCCTCAGGCTAGACAGATTGGCTTCTTTCTTCTGGGTTCACAGCCTACCTTTCACTGAATAGTAGTCATTCCACCCACTTCAGTGTAGAAACAGGCAGACTAGGCCAGGGGATAGTTTTAATTTTCAAGGTAGAGCCTTAGGTTCCTGTACTTAGTCAGGAAACAGCTGGTAGGTGTCTCAAGTGGTAGAGCACCTGCCTAACAAGCATGAGGCCCTGAGTTCAAATCCCAGGGCCATCAAAAAATTTTTTTAAAAGTGAAAAAAAAAAAAAAAAAGACTGGGTCAAGAGCCCTTGTCTCTGGTAATCTAGTTGGAAATCTGCTGAGAAAGAGCGAGCCAGCTGATGGATAGAAATAGTGGACTCTTCTTTCATGCAGTAGCCCTTTAAACACTTTCTCCTTGTGACTTTTTGGCTCAAGCCTCTGTCCTGGTCACCTTACTTTCAAGCAGTGCCTCTGACTTTCAAGGAGTGCCTGTCAAGTTCTATTTAAAATTGTGTGGCAGGTATGGTGGGGGATGCTGCTTGGTCAGGCTGTTTAGTTGCCAGAGATGATGGCTGCCATCCTGGTATTCAGGGCTTCTCTTGAGCTGGTGGTCAAGAAGTGCTGATGGCTCCTGTATCAGGCTTACTCAAGATGATTTCCCCAGGTGCAAGTCCAGATCTATAAAGAAAAATGCTTGAGTGTGGTGATACTCCCCTGAAAAGCTGCCTTAGCCCTTGAATCAACTCTGAAGTACTTCGTAGAACCTTATATGGGGTTCCCAAGGCATCAGCAACTTGACACACGTATTTTCAAACTTCAATAATGTATATATTGGGAGCAGGCATCCGGTTGCAGAAATTTCAAGCCAGTTTTGCTGAACTCTTTCTTTTACCTGTTGTGGGTGCTTGGTCTTAGAGGTTGAGGCTGTGGGCAGGGAGTTAGGGCCATGGTACCTAATTCTTTACTTGAAATTGTAGAATGCTGATTTGGCTGGTCTCAAGTGAACCTCTTAAGTTGAGATCTGAGAGAGGAGAAGGTACTTAGCCACCCCACATCAAGCTATTTAGAAATCAGGTCATTGGCCTTGTGGAAACTGCAGTACAGACCTGAGCCTGCATACGTAAAGCTAGTGGCCTTCTAGCCACTGTCACCATGATCTTAGGACAGAAGCGATTGTTCAGAGGGTAGAGGTGGGAGTCAATTAAGAATAATTTTGGAGACTCAGTGGCAAAGCACTTGCCCGGCATGTGTGACACCTCAAGTTTCACTGAACAAAAAAACAAAAGAAGGAGAACTAGGGCATTAATAGCACTCAGGAGGTAGAGGCAAGAGGTTGTGAGTTCAAGGCCAGTCTAGGCTATGTAGTAAGATTCCCCATCTCAGAAAAAAACATCATTTTTGGGAACTTTTTCCCATAGCATATGTCGTACCCTGGAGATTGTTTTGTTTCTTTGTTTTTTGAGATAAAGTCTGTAGCCCAAGCTTGCTTCCAGCTGTGGTCCTCTTGCCTCGACCTCCCAAGTGCTGGGATTGTAGGCATATACCACCATGCCTGGCAACCTTGTAGACTGTGATATTGGCTCAATACTCACTCCCTCCCCCCATTCCTGCTTGCCTCTAAACTTTAGAGTCTAAAGGAGTAAGTACCATTAATGTCTATAAAGTAACTTATCTTTCCTGTTATTTGTAATTTTAGAGAAAAAAAATGGAGTTCTCATTCCAGGCAGATGTCATTCTCCCTGGGTGATTCCTTCAGTAGCTGGATAATAAGAGGACCCCAGAGATCAGCCAGAAAATCAGAAAACTGCAAAAGAGAAGGCTCTTTTGAAAGGCCTTCTGCCTTCCAGATTCCCAACCCAGTCAGTCACCAAAGCATTGGGAGCACATCTGTGCCAGGCACTATGCTGGGAACAGCAAAGGACATACAGCAGTCAGCATGAGGCAAGTGGGGTCTTTGCCCCACATGCAGAATATGTAGGCTGTTGTCTGTCCTCCTTCCCTTTTATGCCATAGAGGCTTAAATGTCACTGCACAGAGCATGAATTAATCATGACAGCCTGTGAATTCAATTCCAAGGATTCAGAGCAGTGAATGTCTCCTGCAGTTAGTTTACTTATGGAGGACAACCCCCAGAACATGTTCCTTTCTAAGCCAGAAGAGAAGCATTCCCCCTGTTACAGTAGGCTTTTGTGCTGAGACTTTTCAGCTCTGTCAAGACTTGAAGTTTGCAGAATCTATGATTCTCAGCAGTGGTAGATACTTTTTTTTCCATGCCCACTGTGCGGCAATTTATAGAATGAAGTACTGCATTATATTTAGGCCTGTGGAACTTACCTGTGGTTAGGCATTCCTCCTTCTTGCCCTCTCCTAGGCTTGCCTGGACCCCATCAGACCTGCTAAGGCTAACAATTGCTGCTTGCAGGTCCCCTGTTGTGCTGAGTAAAGAGTAAAGAAGTACCTGTATTTGCTGTGTTTGATTTTCTGTTTGCTTTTCAGGGGCTCTGCTTGTCACACACAAGATCTTTAGTCTTGAGGTTAGCTACAATGGAACAGAGTCTGACATTCAAGCCTTTGTTGTCAAGTGATGCTTTGACTGGAATCATTAAACCTTTATTCTCTTCCAGTTGGAGTAAGCTGGAGTTGAAATCGATTAGGTCATGCCCTTTGTGTAAACTAAAAGGATTATGGGTTTACAAGCTGGCCTGCCTTTCCTTTCCTTCCTACTCACTCGACTCTCTCACAACTCTGTTTCCCTGCTGAGTCACTTCACTTTGAGTTACAATCAGGCTGCTCTTTTTGCTTTCTCTAATAAATGTCTACAAAACATCTTCTGTGTAGAAACCAAAATGGGAAAGAAAGGTTATGTGTGAGTTTAAAAATAAACTGAAATTAAAATTACTAGAGCTGGGTGCCCATGGCTCATGCCTATAATCCTAGCTACTCCACCATCTTCCTTCTAGAGGAAGGCAGAGATCAGGAAGATCATAGCTCAAATAGTTCGTTTCAGGCAAATACCCAACACCAAAAAGGGCTGGTGGAATGGCTTAAGTGGTAAGAACACCTGCTGATCAAGTGTGAGGCCCTGAATTCAAACCCCAGTGAACTCAATATGTACACTTAGGTTAATAACTGTGCATGATTATCCTTTTAAAATGCTCCTTCCCTTTCACTTGCCCACCCTAAACCATCCTGGCAAGAGATAGGTTGAGACCCCTTGAAGAAGGTTCCCTGCCCAGCCATAGTGGATAAGGGTGGCTGGACCCATGGATTCCACATGGGGTAACAGTTAAAGCCAGCCTGTCCCCCATAATATAAATTTTTTCACTTAGTACACCCCTTCTTTACCTCAGAACCCTATCATGCCTGAGTGAGAGTTAAAGAGGATTTCTGGGTTGCAATTTGTCAGAGCCAGTCCAAGTATGGCATAAAAATGTTTAGAAACTGTCTCAGCCTCTTGAGCAGACAGCCTTACTCAAAGACACACACAAATCAGGGCCAGAGCCAGGACCAGAGTCTTGTGTTCCTTCCACTAGGCCACTTGATCTCAGCTGCTTTTTTTCTCTAAGGTAGTTTGAAATAACATTTGTGTTCCCAGGATACTGAAAATTTACCCCACCCAGTCAATATGGAGAAGTAGTAGTTGGATAATCTGAGATTTGAAATTAAATCTTTGGAATTCAGTTCATCTGATACATGGCAGCGGTCATGCCCAGTGATATTTACTGAGATTGGCAGAAAGGTAGCATGGCTTCCTGAGTGTACACTAGCTGGCAAGCAGCTTTAACGTACAGAAAAAGAACCCTGCTCTTACAGCCAGGCTGGCTCAGTTGTTAGTTCTGAACGCTGGCCACTGTGTTATAGCTGAGCAAGTTGCTTTACCTGTAAGCTTTAGTTACCTCGTCTGTAAAAGAGGGGTTGGAGCTCTCCACAGCGTAGATTGTGTTGAGAACTGAATCAGCATAATGTATGTGGAAGGGCTTGGCTCATAATTGGGTGCTTAATAATATTGCTGCTGGGTAAGCCCCAGAAATTAAAGCACCTGCTCACTCTTAGGGAGGAGCCTGGTGCAAGAAGGTCGGTCTCTGGGAAGCCTTGGCCTGCTGGAGTCTCCGCGGATTAGGGTGGAGCCTCTAGGGTGGAGCCTCGGGAGCAGCTCCCCAGAGCCCAGTCACGCCTCTACTGTGGATTTTAGATGTTTCTGCTTCTCAATGTTCTCTCTTTTTTCCTGCCTGCTTGCCTGCCTTTTGGACCTCTTGCTGTCTAGGGTGGCAGATGAAGCTTTCTACAAACAACCCTTCGCTGACCTGATTGGTTATGTGTATGTTGCAAAACTAATTCCTTTTCTTGTTTTGATTCTTCCTACTTTTTGTTTAGAGTTAATGTTCCTTTTGTCACAAGTTGCTTTGCTTTTGAAAATATTTCACATTGGCACTGGGAGCTGCCTGAGAATTGATAAAGCTGGATATGATCCATTGCTAAAAATCTTGCAGAATTAAAGATTCCCTGTGCCCTCTGATGACCATTTTTCATATTTGCAATCTTGGAGGGGTTCCCTTTCAAAATGTAGGTCCTCTGTGATCTTGTCTGGAAAGGGTTTGGGATTTGGGTAGAGTCTGACCTCTTGCTATTGCTGCCACTGCTGCTGGGGCCCTATTGCCTCCCTACCCTCCAGGAAGGAGAGCCTCCCTGCCTGGAGTAGATGAAAAATACCAGGAAGTGAGGAGCTAGTGAATAGCAGCACCTTGCATTGCCAAAGTCAGAGTCATGGGGGCTCTGACTTTGCTATACTTGATCCTTCAGAGTATGGGGCCGGTTGCCTCTCCCTTAGGCAGAGGAGTACAAAGCAGAGAGGGGACTACCTGTGATGGGTGTCTGTCATTGTTTCTTTCTGGTCTTACATATCAGAAACTGCTTTGATGCCATGTTCCCATCCTTAGCACAAAGGCCCCAGCTGTGAGGTCAAGATAACTAAAGCTGTCTAATATGAACCACCTAGCACCCCCACCCCCCAAAAAGAGAAAAACTTTGCATCTTTTCTGAGATAAAATTTTTTTTAATGATTCTTACCAGTCATTTAAAAAAGCAGTATTGCTGTCAGCATTTTTCCCTTCCTGTTATATAAGGGAGATGAGGGTAGAATGGAGGAAAGAAACCTATAGAATGTGGTGACAAACTGAGGTCTGTAGAGTCTCTTAAGGCCCATAACCTTGAGATATTCACCTCATTAGAAGACAGAACTGGGTTATCTGGGCCTCCAGATGCATTTGCAATGAGACTTGTGAAATGCTGGACTTACAGGTGGTGTTTGATCTGACTTTTTGCACATTCTCTCTGGAGTAGAAATGGAGACTGGAAAGGTTGAGTCTGGTTTTGCTGGGCAGCAGGGTGGCCCAGCAAAGCCAGCTGCACATTCCTAAGCATAGATAGAGTGGCAAGGCATGTCTAGCTTACTGACCATCTGCATTGAGCTCATTCTCATTTTCTGTATCTGACCTAAAGTTTCTCTCGTTTCTCTCTTCACCTTTAAGCACAAACATAAACCATCCTTGCTACAGCCTAGAACAGTTAAGTAAACCTTTCTCACTGCCCCTAACTGTGTGTGCCATGAAGTCGCAGTGTTGTAGTGCCTCTGGGCTTCAGCAGTGTTTGCCACGGCCATCCCTGTGATAGTGCCATCCCTCCGTTCCCACGGACTAGTCATCTCCATTGCTTTTGCTTTGCCCGTGATGCTTGTTGGAGTAGATGAATATTTGGTGTCTTTCCCACCTCTTACCACTGTCCTTTTGGGCTGCAGCTCCCACCAGTTAGTTCCCAGCTGGGGGTGGGCCGTCCTTGAAGTGAAAGAATGTTGGATTGGCATCCTGCCAAAAAGCAGCTAACATTGGCTCTCCTGCCAGAGTGTGCCTTGACTGGCCTCAGGCACCCGGCTGGAGAGAAAATGGCTGAACTAGAGAATGTCCTAGTGGCCCCAGGCACCTGGCTGAACTAGAGAATTTCCTAACAAACCCCCTTCCAGAATGGCTTTATAGTCTTGAGTGCCTGCTCGCATGGGAGCTTTGTCTTGAATTCCTTTTGATCTGCCCTGTTTCTCTCCAGCCTTAGGAATAAGTCTAGAGGCTACTATGCAATGACCTGTGGGCTTTTTAGAACTCTCAAAATTTCCTTGAAACTCAATATAGCCCAACATAAGCTATTCTTTTAAGTTCTTGATCAACCTGCTGCAGTGCTCATTTGTAAAATGAGTGCATAGATGGTCAAGGACTTACTTTAAAATGCTCTTTATGAGCAGAGATAGCCAGACAGAGAGACAGAGTGAGCCCTGAACCAAACACCTGTATTCCACCATTTTACACAGCAGCCCAGGCACCCTGAGCCTAGGAGAGCTGGTTATATGTCTGCCCCTGAGTCTGACTTGGGCCAGCGGCTGTTAGTTCTTGGGAAAAACAGAATGCCATCTAGTTAGGAATGAAAAGGCAGTCACTTTTGTTGTAGCAAGGCAGCCACCAGGTTGCTCAAAGGGGTTTCTACATTAAACCAACGTATTTTGTTATTGCTTCCAGGGCAGCAGAAGAAGCCTTTGTAAACGACATTGATGAGTCCTCCCCAGGCACGGAGTGGGAGCGGGTGGCCCGGCTGTGTGACTTTAATCCCAAGTCCAGCAAACAGGCCAAAGATGTCTCCCGCATGCGCTCAGTCCTCATCTCCCTCAAGCAGGCCCCCCTGGTGCACTGAAGAGCCACCCTGTGGAAACACTACATCTGCAATATCTTAATCCTACTCAATGAGGCTGTTCACAGTAATTGGATTAATTATGTTGAGTTCTTTTGGACCAAACCTTTTTTGTCTTTAGAGTTGATCATTGTTTGTGATTGCATGTTTCCTTCAACTGTGTTCTTTCTCCCTGGCATTCAGAGAGGAGGGGGAGGAGGAGGAAGGGAGGGAAGCTCCCCACATTAGCCTTACCCTGTGCTTTTGTGCATTATTCTGAGAATAAATTTTTGTTTCAAACATTATACATGAAGCTTCTTTATTGACTTCAAGATGTGCTACAACTTGAAGACACATGCTTGAAGGGAAGAGGAATTGTCTTTTATCATTTCTAGGGCTAAGAGGCCCAGCCATTGTACCTTTACCCCCTCCTTAAACTAAAATAGCTAGTTTCTCTTTTCTGTAGGATTCTGTGAAATTTTCATTTGAAAAGGGGACTTCATAGCTAATTTTTGACCCCTTATTGATTACAAAAGACATAGCTCTGAATCCTCTCACCAACCATTTTCTCCCAGATGGGCTCATTCATCATTATCCCTTAGTTTAGAGTCTTGGATAGTGTATTTCCACAGGAGTCTGTCTGGGTTACATGGTCTTTTGTAATTCATAGTCTTTACTATCCTTTGGATTCAGCAAGTAAACCTGAGTTAGAATGGCATGAGTGTGTGACTCTTGATTCCTGAAGTTTAAAAATACATTTCTAATCCTAGTCACATTTCATATGCCCATTAGCCCCTGTGGATAGCTAGCATCCCAACTGGACAGTGTAGATTATGGGACATTTCCATCATCCCAGAAAATTCTTCTGGACCATACTAATCTATACAATAGGTACTTTGAGGAAACCTTGCTCCCACATTCTCTCAGAAAACCTGTTTAGTATGTGGCACTTTTTAGTTATGTTGTAAGCAACTAATAAAGCTATCTTTCATATACTCACCTGGTATTTCCAAATTGGGGAATGAAGCAAACTCCTGTAATAGTACACTCAGGAAGGGGGTTAAATCTTGCCATTATCAAGAAAGAGTCCATCATCTCTCTCTGAATGCTAATAATGTGTGGATGGGAGAGGCACTTCCATTACTTTTCCTCCTTCCTCCTTTCCCAGCTTCTTAAGTGTGGCTTGCTTTGATCTGGGTATTTCTGGCCCATGTTCATTCCCTTTAGCAACGTCTGATTGCACTCACTGTTGTTCACAAGCCATGTTTCCCCTAACCATTCATAATGCCATTCAAAATGTGGAAATCTAATTTAAGAATCAGTTCAAAGACCACCTCCATTAATGCCTTACTCTCTCCAGTGAATTCCCATAACCCTCTGCCTGGGACAGCTTACTTTTTGGTGTTTTCTTGATATCACTGTCTGACCAGTATTGCTTCCCACACCGGATGGGCTTCTTGAGGGAGGATGTGGCAGTTTTAAAATGTGAACAAAAGCTGACATAATATGACAAAAGTGATGCTGTGTGAGTTCCAGGGCTAGGTCATAAAAGGCAACTCAGCTTACAGGTGATTTATTAGAACACACTATTTGGTAGCTCCCAGCTACACAGAAAAAGGTCTACCACTCTGAAGCCATCATGCAGTGAGGAAGCCCAACATAACACAAGAGAAACCATGATAGGCCAGTTCCTAGATAGTCCAACCACAGTGCAAAGACACTGTGAGCCAGACCTGCCAAGTAGAGCCTTTCCCAAGTTCCTGATTCACAGTTACTGTGAAAGAGAAAACAATTACTGGTGTTTTCAGATCTTTTAAATTCTGTTATATGGCAGTGGTAACCTGAGGTGGTTTCTAGTGGACTTCATAAAAGGAGGGAGCTAACATAAAAGGAATCAGGGGTGATTCAATGGGTTTTCAACATTTTAATTTCAAACCTCCTCTTGGGGCCACTTTGGATTTTTTTTAGTGAAGTCAAAATTTAAATATGTAACTGCTTTCTATTAATAGGCTTCTTCTTGGTTAAGAAAACAATAATATTAGATTCCTTAAGTTATATAATCTTCAAAATGTAAGCCAGGCAACGATATAAATCTGTTCCAGAAAAGGAAATGCTTTTTTTAGCTAGTGAGTTAATTAAGAAAAAAGCAAAATACAACATTTTTAAGATTGGAACAAGAAAATGTATTTTTTTCTTGGGAATTTGGTTCAGAACAGTAACATAAAAATATATACATTAAATAAATTACGTGATTTAACCATATGTAATAATTTATGTCCAAATATATTAGTCTCTCCATGGATTTAATAAAAACTAAGATTTGGTTTTTAATTCCATATCATTCTTTCAAATATTTAGCATGAAACTTGGTAGCAGTAGCATTGTTTGGTGTACAGTGATTATGGGTTTCACCAAGGAATGATTGGTGCCCTTTGGGGTACACCATCTACCTACTCCAGATACTGCTAACAGGACAGCCAGTGTCCTTCCCAGCAGTCACTGTGGAATGTCTGAACAGTAACCAGGCTCCAGAGATGATTTAAGGGGTTGGTAGAGTTCTAGGAGTTAACCAACCTGTCTTTTTTACATTAACCCACCAGGAAGTCATTCAGTATTAAAACCTTCAGTTTAATTTATATGTCAACACTGAACATTACATTGTAAAAGCCTTTTTTCTAAAATAAAAAATCTGAAAAATATACGCATATGCTTTTTTTTTTACATTATCTAAAAGTACTCATAAAACCCTGTCACTAGATCAAATACTGTCTGGCAAGATTTCCATAGCAGAGAGGAATATTCATTAAATTCACAGCTGAAAGATAAGAGTCAAGAATAAATCAAGTCATTTGCAACTCAGATATTCTTGCTAAAACTTTGTAGCCTAGAGTAAATTACAATACGTTAACATTTTGAAAGTTTTTGAAATGAGAAGTCGTGTGACTTAGCAGGAAAAGCACAGAAGGACTTCGGATCAAACTCTGGAGTCAGAAGCGCTACCGTTGCGCCACGAGGCCCGCCGTTCGGATCAAACTCTGAAGCTCACTAGCCCCATTCGGTGTGTAACTCAAACACTAATTTGGATATGTACCTCACAGATTGTGAGGTATTTAGGATAATGTATATGAAGCACCTCGTTCAGACCCTGGCACACAATAGGCACTTAGTAAGCGTTGGTTAATAGTATTTCTTCCAGGTTGTAATTAATAGGCAGAACTTTTACTATTGTGTTCTGCCATCAATGAAAGCACAGATTCTTACTATTAGAATCCAGATCCATGGATCTAGTCTCTAGGTGTTAACACATATAAACACTGCCTTCATAGATATTCTGGAGTCACAGGCAACATAGTATGAAAAGCTCTGAAGGGAGAAGTGTACACTATCAGGAGCAAAGATCCTTTGGGGACAGTTAATCTCCTTTCAGAGGCTGTAAGTCCTGGCTTCTTAGCTGTCCCTAAGAAGATAGGGATAAGGTCACTAAGGCCATTGTAATTCAGATCCCTGGTCTAAAGTTCTGCCACAGCACAACATCTCTCAACAAAGACATTTGGGGTGACAGATTTGTCTAGTATCTTGACTGCAGTGATGGTTTCACAGGCTAATACATAAGTCAAAACTTACCAAATTGTGCATTTTAAAAGCTACTTAAATAAAGCCATCTGAAAAAAAGTTTTCTGTAACCCTTGATAAGGTTTTTCTTCCGTCCTCTGACTAGATCCCTTTCTAGGGTCTGAGTCTGAGGTGGAAGTGTTAATAACCTAACTGTCGTATGAGGCTCACGTCCTAAGGAAGGCCTACATATCTAAGTGGTACCTTAGTAAGTGGAATCCTCAGGCTTCCTGGTCTATTGCAGCTCCTTTTGGCACAGAAAGTTGTGACTGGAATTTACAGGGTTTACACTAAAGTGATCCCTATTAGGAAAGTATCGAAGAGCAGCATCTACAAAAATATGTGTGGGCAAAGGTGAATTTGGGAAAAACACTTATCTGCCAATGTCACCAGCACTTAAACACCAAATTTTCTTTTTAAGAAATGCTCATCTTAAGAGAAGAACTCCACTAGGGAGGGCTAGGTCTCTGTCCATGTCCATTCCTGGGAGGCCTAGTGGATCCTGCGAGTTGTGTAGTCCAGAACCATGCTGGCAGCACCAAGCAGAGCAGGGTCGACCAGGTCTGAAACCACCACGTCCACATCCTGCACGGAGGACAAGGCTTGATGGCGGATGACGTCTTTGACAATGTGGATGTAGTGACTAGCCAGCACTCCAGAGAGGATCACGAGGGAGGGATTCATAGTGTGGAGAATGTTCACAACACCAAGTCCCAAAGCAGTTCCAGCTAAAGGAAAACAAAAATTAAGTCTCTGAAAGAGAACTTAAAGGGCACAGTGGCACACCCCTGTATTTCCAGCTACTGGGCTGAGGCAGGGACTGTTTGAGCCCAACCCACATCAATCTGCTTCCTAATCTACTGTTATTCTTGGGCTCTGAAGGATGAAAATCCTGTGCAGACTGCTACCATGATACCAACTGATGCTCTTCTGTCTTTCCTGGACCTCACAGCTACCAGCTGTCCCTCCAATTCTACCTCAAGGTCAGCCTGGGTAACCAAATAAGACCATCTGAAAAAATGGGAGGGTAATTGGGGGTGTGGCTGAGTGGTAGAGCACAGGTCTACTATGTACAAGGTCCTGGATTTAATCTCCAACACTGCAAGAAAATTTAAAATTAAAGACTTACATATAAAATATACTCTCAACTGTATAAAAATTACAGAAAAAATGAGTAGAAAGACTGGGAGGAAATCTTAATAGTTGGTATCTCTGAATGTTAAAACTCATCAGTGGTACTTTTTCTTATTATTGGATATTTTGGGTATTTCTCTAAATATCCTATAAAAGTGAGCAAGCAGTATTTTCAGCCATAAAACCAAACCAAATCAGAAACCTGTTTGAAAAGGCAATGATGCCAAATACCTTTAATGCATTTCCTCTTGCTTTCTGAGTAAATAGGAAAAAATACCTCTGAACAGACAATGTAGATCACAGCCTGAAGGAAACCGAGGGTTCTCTGTGGGAGCCCTGGGATGTCTGGGATCACCCCCTGTGGCACAGCTGCCCCAAGCCACAGGCTCACCTGTTCTTAAGATGCTTTGGGCCTTTGCATTGCCAAGTTTCGCAGCTTGGATGAGATGGAGCGCACCCACAGCTTCATCTTTTGGGACCGACATCCCTTCCACCAAGAGCAGGTCCTCTGAGCAAGCGAGGAAAAACAGTCATTAGTAACCTGTGGGCAGCCCGG